AAAATTTTCTCCTTCACTTCTTATTTTAACTTTGATCCACATATTCAGTATAATTCACCTGAGAGTTCTCATATGTCAGAAGATTATCATTTGTGGTCCTCCCCAAGTTTAGGCAATACTGGTTGTGCATCTCTTGTCCGCCATATGCAGGACCAGAAGTATTTCAGATTTTAGAGTTTTTTGGGTTTGAAATGTTCACATAGACCTTTCCAACTGAACATTATTAATCTAAAAATCCCAAATCCTCCAATATTAAAAAAAGTTTCAGATTTCAGATTTTCTGATTAGGGATGCTTAATCTATGTGTTGTATTTAATTGTACATATTTTATATTTTTGTTATATATCATGTAATATATTTAGCCAATCTAAAGGGGACAAATACCATGACTATATAGTCTACCTCTTATTTCTTTGGTATTTATTAAATAAAACCTCAGGGATTCATTCATTAACTGAACCTTTAAAACTATCAACTAAATTTTGTGTTCCTAAGATTGATTTTTTGTTTTGGTTTTTGCTTGTACATTTACCTGTATATTCAGCCTTAAAGTTCTTGTGGGTTTTTCACAGACAAAGATATATGCAATTGCATAATTAAGTCAAGATGCTGATTTGCAGCATTTGCCATGAACCAAATTTTAGCAGTAGTGTTTAGATAAAACCATGGTCTTGGAGGGTATATGTGGGGTTCTGGGTGTTTTCTTATAATTGTATTTTAGGGAAAACCCTTCTTGTGTGGTAAGAAATTATTACTGTTGTGATTAGTATCATTATTAGCTTTACACAATGCCAGTTTAGAAAATATATTGTCGTTCTTACTCAAAAGATAATTTTGAGAGACATTTTTACTTGTTTTTAGTATAATATTTACTTTGAGATATTCATACTCTTTTCATGATTTTATTCTAAGACACTGGGACATAGGGCCAAAAGATAAAGGTTTCTTTATTAAAATTTTGACACTTTTTACATGTGTAGTAGAATTCCCTGCACAATAATACATACAAAGATTGATCAGATGTAGAAGTAAACCTCCAAATGCGTATTTTATTATTAGAAAAAAAAATTATATAGTGATAAACTGTTTTAGTCAGATTTTGTTGTTCCTGTGACCAAATACCCAATAAGAACAGTTTTAAGAGGGAAAAGTTTATTTTGGATCTCATGATTTCAGAAGTCTCAGTGCACAGATGGTCAATACATCCCTAGGAACTCAAGGGGAGTCAGAACATCATGGTGAAGGAAATCAACTGGGAACATGGCACCAGGAAGCAGAGGGGGTGGAGCGCGTAGGGAAGGAGAGAGAAAGAGAAAGACACCGACAAACACTCCACTCATCAGGGTTAAAACATACATCCCAAAGGCCTACCACCCCCCCCCCAGTGACCCACCTTCTCCAGCCACATACCCTACCTGCCTTCAGTTAACACTCAGTTAATTCCTATCAGAGAATTAATTCACTGATTGGTTAAGGTTCTCATAATCCAGTCATTTCACCAAACTTTCTTGCATTGTCTCACACATGAGCTTTTGGAGGACACCTACTGTCTAAACCATATTATGGACTATACGATGTAGAAAGCAGTAAATGTCATGAGAAATACCTTGATTAAGCCTTACGATGTTCAGAAGAATTCATTATTTCATGAAAATTTTTAAATTTATAGGATTTATGCCAAACAGAATAATTATATTTCCTGTCCTTAAGAATCGTCTGACCGTCTGATGGAAAAGACAAATAAGTAGGTAATTACAATATGAGGTAGGAAGTAAAAGGATGAAGCAGGTATAGATGAGAAATGAGTTTGAAGATATAAAGAACGGCCAGAATCAGTATGACTATTCTGAATCATGGAGTTTAGGTTCAATTAGTCTTATCTGTAATAATAATTAAAATATTTAAAAGAGTTTTGGAAAGGTGGCAGCTTCATTTTGGACAAGTTAAGTTATAGCAGCCTAGCTTGGGGCAGTGGTATGTGCCTATAGACTCAGCTTTGGCTTTGGAAGATCACTTGAGCCCAGGAGTTTGAGACCAGCCTGTGCAACATACGGAGACCTATTTAAAAATTTTTTTTAATAATTAAAGAATTTTTAAAAGATGCACAAAAGGAGAGGGAGAGAAATGACTAGAGAAAATATCCTGTAAAAAAACTGAGGGAGTGGAAGTACTCTCAGCAAGCATCCTGTGTAGCAGAGGTGGCTGGTTAGATCAGACAAATTGGGTACCAGTGCCCTGATATTGGAGTGGTCAAAGCAGAAGCCAGATTGTCTAGGGTTAAGAAGTGATGTGAGAGTTTAGAAGTGCAGAACATGATTTTCTACCACTTGGGGGAAAGTTTGAATCTCACTGAGAAGGTTTGAATTCTAGATTTACCACTTAACCAGTGTTAAGACCTTAAGCATGTTAATCTGTTATCTTCATCTTTAAAATGAGGATCATAATGCCTGCCTTATTAAGTTTTCTGTGAGAATTAAAGGAGTCTATATAGGGAGAACATTTCAGAAAGTACTATTCATACTCTGCACATGAGCTTGGATTGTGGCTCAGTGGTATAGTGAGGCACATGTGAGGCACTGGGTTTGATCCTCAGCAATACATTAAAAAAATAAATAAATAAAATAAAGGTATTGTGTCCACCTATAATTTTTAAAAGTTTAGAAAATATATGGTTTGCACATGATTAAAAAAAGGAAAAAAAAACTTTCATACAGGTCTTCTAATCCTGGTTTGCTATTAACTCTTTGGAATATAATATCCATCCCAGTCTCTTAAGAGAAAAAATAGCTGCTATTTTTACCCAGCTGCCAGAGTTTCTGTTACAAAACTGGTAATATTGAGTAATGTTTCTTGTGCTTGAACTTTTACTTTTCTCATAAATCCGTAACTCCTGTAGACCGTATCTATAAATTTCTTCCTTTAGGTCCTTATAGAAATACTTAACATTCATCCTCTAGATTCCCATACAAACCTTGCATTTATCTCTATTATATCATCTGGTACATTGTTACTGGGATGATGTCTTTTGTACCAATGTGTGAATTAGTGTAAGATATTTATTTTCAATTGTTTATAAAAGTTTGCATAGTACTGTAGTTTTTACCCCATGTTAGCATCGCTTCATGCTTAAAAAGACTATGAAAGTTACTTAAGGAAGTCTCCTGAAATATTTATACAAATGCCTGGGTAGGATATTTAGATTATATAAGATCCTGGCTTCAAATCACTCAGCACAGTGAATTTCACATTCTTTTTTTTTCTCCTTGTTTAGCCCACATAGTTACTTGAGAAGCTTATGAAATACTTAGACTCCTCAACCCATGTTCTCTGATTTTGAAAATTCTACATCATCACCTTCATTTTCATTAACATCTAAGCTCATTCTTAAATGCTGTAGAATTATATATAATACATTTGAATGACTCCTATTGTGAAAATTTTATCCTCAATCTTATGCCATTACCATTCTTCTCAGATGGTCTGGTTTAAAAAAAAATTCTCCAAATTTTCCTATGAACATTAAATTGTTTTGTACTTATATTTTATTTATTTATCTATCTATTTATTTATTATTGATTTATTTTTAGTTATACATGGTAGTAGAATCTATTTTGATTTATTTACTTCCGTTAATTAAATGGATATAATTTTGACTGTAAAACCACGGATAAAGAAAAATAATCTTGAAATCACATGTAACTAACAATGTACCATCAAGAAATATAAATTAAAAACATATAATGAGGGGCTGGGATTGTGGCTCAGCAGTAGAGCACTCGCCTAGCATGGGCGGGACCCGGGTTTGATCCTCAGCACCACATAAAAAAATAAATAAATAAAGGCATTGTGTTGTGTCCATCTACACCTAAAAAAATCAATATTAAAAAAAAAAACATGTAATGAGTAGGATCTGTGTACTATTCTTTATTTTTAAAATCCATTTTATTCACAATGTAACATGTCATTGTGGTAAATTATCTAAAATCATCCTGTATCATCACATGATTTACGAATTATAGCAGAGGGCTGGGGATATACAGCTTAGTTGTTGGAGTGCTGGCCTTGCATGCACAAGGCCCTGAGTTCAATCCCCAGCACCACACATACAAAAAAAAGTTCACCTAAGAATCATTGCATAGTTCTATTAGTCATGAATAATTTAAAGAGATTTGTAATTTCCAATCACTGATTATTTAGATTTTTAATGTTTTGCTTCTATAAACATAATAAAAATTCTTATAAACCTAAAAAAAGTATGCATAGTACCTGATACTTAGTAAACATTCAGTAAATGTTAAGTTGCATTGAAAATAGGAAAATGCATAATTAGATATGACACATATTTGTGCAGCTCTACTGTGTGTTCATCACAAAGTTTCAAAAGTTGAAAAATATTTTGAGATAATTATTACTTTTTGCTGATTACTTAACTCTTTAATGTCAGAAAGGTGAAGGCTACTCTTTGACTTAGCTTACTCTAGTCAGGATGGACAGTATTGTTAAAGTGACAGGTTTGTTTTAATCCATTATCAATATTAACATTCCCAATTTGGCTATTATCATTTTCAGAATCATCTTTGAAAAAGAGTAAGAACTTGGTAGGTAAATGTGTAAGACAAGACTAGTTAATTAAATATTTTATTAAGTGGTTGCCAGGAAAAAAAAATCAGAATTATTTAGGTCCTTTTTTATTGTCATCTGTTTCAGTTTACTGCTACCAGTCTTTTGGAAAATAAATTGTCCATCACTTCAGATGGAGTGTTATTTTGTGGTTCACTGTTTTGTGCATGGGCCAGTGAAAATTTTATACCTGGTCTGGGCAACTGGTTCTTTACTGTCTCACTCTCTAGTTTTTCCTGAAAACATATAAACTTTCAATCTATCAAAAAAAAGTGGCTTTGTATGTGTGTTTACATACTGGTGTGTTAATATAGTAGGCATTGGGAGTCTTCTCTGTGTAAATATTTGTAACATGCAGTGTTCTCCTTTCTCTGTTGAAGCACTCTCCATCCTGTACTCCAGCTAGCAAAGGCAGACGTGTAAGAGACTATTGCACTTTGTGTACCCATCCTGATGCCTTCTACCTCTGTCTCTTAGCCTTTTGCCTGTGATTGCAGAAGCTGTGAACATTTGTGTGATGTATTAGTACATTGATTTTGCATGCTTTTGCTGCTGCTCCTGCTTCTGCTATTGCTACTCTGCTTTCCTATATTTTCGCGGCTTTTTGTTTGTTTGTTTTTCCTGTTTTGGCTTTGGCCGCAAAGCTTTAAGAATGTTCATATAAATTTCTGTAACCAAAACACTAAAATAATCAGATATCATTTTTGTTTTGATGGGGGGAGGGCAAAAAAGTGATCCTAAAGAATACTTTCTAAATTAAATACAAAAAAATGAGTTTCTAAATAAGAATCTGATATAATCAGTGATGTAGAGATTTAGATTTCTATTACATAGGAAAAAACAATTAATTTGTATTATACAAAATTTATAAAAAGGATTTTGAACAAACTATAGATCTTATTGGCTATGGTTTTATGTAAATCACTTTTAAAGAAATCCTGAAGTTTTTTTTTTTAGTGTAGTTCAAAGGAATCCTCTTAAATATACATACAGATCTGAGGGAATAATGTTACTAATAAATTTTTTATATTCTAACATAATTCCAAGATTTTAAAACTATCTGAGCATACTTCCTATACGTATTATTAATAAACAATAAACATCGTTTATGTTAATGCTAGCTCCCATGTTTCTCAAATACTTTCTATATGTATTATTAATAAGTGATAAATATCTTCCTATGTTAATGCTAGCTCCATGTTTCTCAACCTGAAGTGGTTCCTCTACTACCCCATCCTGCAATATTCTGATGTGCCCATACTGGGGGATCTATATGTAGAAAGGTCTCAAAAGTTTTCTAAACCAGTCTCTATCCCAGCACCAGTCTCACACAGATACATACTTCTCAACCTGAAGCAATAGGCTAGTTGATACATTTTTTCAGATTTTCATATACTGTGTAAAATAGTAACATTTGAAAGGAAAGTCAGAAGTGATTTTTACCTGTCAGGTTCATGATTATTGGGATTGATCAACAGTTTAGTAGATAGAGTATTTGGATTTGGGAAGTTCTAGATCAGTTAATTCTCTGATTTATGGAGGAGATGGGAAGTAGTAGGGTGGCTCATTGCTTCCTGTGTCCATTCTGATGTGATAGAAGGTTGGTTGTCAAATAAAGCATGAATAGCTCTAGTATCACAGTACTATCAGAGTATTGTTTAATAATAAGCAGTTTAAAAATCATTCTGTGTTAGTAGAAAACTTTGAGTTCCACTGACATTAATTATTGGTCTGAGAAAAGATTGCTGGTTCAACAGATTTCTTTATTAATTTTGGGGATTTGTAGAGAGTTAAAACAATTAGATATTTGGATTTATCAAATTAATCTGGGCACATGTTAACTTACTTAATATAGCCTCTAGAAGGAAAGACTAAAATGTTGTGTGCCTAATTGTATTAAGTTTAAATCATCAACCTGTGAATTGATTAAGTTTATAATTGCTTCTTTTTCCATAAGATTATAATATAGAAAATTTGTTTTTCTAATTAATATGGCTTAGTTAATCTCACTTTGCCATGCAGACTTTAGAGGCCTTGACCATCTAAAACATTTCTCTAAATCATGAAATATGGAAAATTTTTTGAGGGAAATACCTATTAGAAGGTCTCTTTGTCTTTTATCTTTATTGTCTTTGTCTTTATTACATAGAATATGAATAAGCCATAGTGAACCAAAATTTACAGACATAAAATAACACACAGCTTTTTTAAAACTGAAGATAGGCTTGATTATCTGCTTTCTCAGTAATTTTTCCTGGCTTAACTATCTGACCAATAAAAATGCAACCAGTGAATATTGTAGTGTCTCTGAAGGAGATGATTGAAGAAGTATGAATTATTCAGTAATTAAATAGAAACTTCTCAATGGTTATTTTAGTCAGCTTTTTTGCTACTGTGACCAAAAGACCTGAAAGAACAATTTTGTTGTTGTTGCCCTATTTGTATTTTATTTAAAGAGAGGGTCTCACTGAGTTGCTTAGCTCCTTGCCATTGCTGAGGTTGGCTTTGAACTCGTGATCCTCCTCGTCTTAACCTCTGGAGCCACTGGAATTACAGGCATGTACCACTAAGCCCAGCCTGAAAAAAACAATTTTAAAAGAAGAAAAGCTATTTGGTGCTCACAGTTTCAGAGGTCTCAGTCCATAGATGACCAACTCCATTCTTTAGGGCCTGAAGTATGGCAGGACATCTTGGCTGAAGAGTGTGGTGGAGGAAAGTGGCTAAGGACACGGCCTTCAGGAAGCAGAGAAAGAATCCTCCTTACTAGGGACAAATTATGTACCCCAAAAGCACACCCCCAATGACCCATCTCCTCTGGCTATACCCTGAGTTAGACTATTGGAGGATTAATGCACTAATTAGGTTAAAGCTCTCATAAACCAATCATTTCATCTCTGAACTTTCTTGCATTATCTCACATATGAACTTTTGACAACATCTCACATCAAAACCGTAGCAGTGGTCCCTGGGACATACGGTATTATTCTAGTAGGACAAAATAGCTATTCCTAACAGTGAATTTCACATTATAGATCATGTTTTTAGATAAGTAAATGTGCAATGCTTTTATAAACTTTAAAATTCGCTGCAAAATGTGATAGAAATGATGACATTATTAAATAATAATTGCCGTATTCAAATTTTATGTGTTTAAGCCTCATTTTTAGTTTAAGTATTTTATAAATGATGTTATTTAATTAAGCATAGTATAATAAAAAATGTTATGAGTGGTTTACTCTGAATACAGATGGTTAATGAGAGTTTCATAGGGTTTCCATTAATAGTGAAAAATACTGATGTCTCATTTTAGAAAATAATATGCTCCACACCCTAAAGGAACAATCTGAAATGAAATGACAAACAAAACTTTGTTATACTTTCTTAGACATTTCTCCAGAATGGGTTCTCAAATCAATATACTGAAAAGAAAATTTTCCTTAAAGAGATACAAGTTACATTGTTTAGTAAGATTGCATAATCTTCAGTAATTTGTTGTTATGATTTGCTTTATATGGTAAAATATTTACTGTTTTCTGAGTGATACTGTATTTCTGTTACACTGTGGTTTTTATTGTCATAAGCTCAATTAACAGAAATAGTTATTTCACTGAAGATTTGAGATTTATAAATGTTCTGAATGTAAAACATTAGGCTAGCGGCTGGAGATACAGTTCAATTAGTAGAATTTTAGCATTGCATCCACAAGGCCCTTACAATCCCCAGCACCACACACACACACACACACACACACACACACACAAGACTACTTGCTCCTTTGTCTTCTAAAATATTTCTAGCTAAAGGATAAATAAAATTTTAAAAATTGAATATTTTTCTGTTAACTTAGAATTTTATATTTACTAATACAAATGGAATGTTAAATGCAAGCTGTTGTTTACTAAGTTGATCATTTATAGTTCATATTATACTTTGGTATCTTTTACTTAAAATAAGGTCTCTTATTAGAATATTGCTACTTAAACAAATCTGTAATTATTAGGGGATAGAAAAGGCCCACTGATGCATACTCGAGATGAAATTTTTAGTTATTTTTATTATTTCTAGAAAAAAAGTAGTACATAATTTAAGAAATTCTTGAGATGTAAGTGATCTAAAAATCAGACATTTGCCTGACCCTGAAAGATTAAAAAAACCAACTTTCAATTTTACTGTACAGTATACTCTAAAACTACATTGTAAGGAAAGTCCTAATGGATTCAGGGAACATTATAGACTTTTAGTATGACAGTGCTGTGCATTGTGGACAATATTAATATTCAGCTTTTCTGCCTTTTTAAATTAATAACAGAGTTAAGTAAAAATAAAACTGGAGTATAGTAGATATCTGTAATGCTTATTCATCAAAGTAACTTATTAAAATGTATACTTAAGAAAAAAATTTGTTAACCAAAGAATAGGAAAAATTTATTTGTTCTACAGAAGAGTGTTTCTTAATTATTTTTTCTGAGTGGATTGCAACTTAGAAATATAGAGTGAATTGCTTATGCCATTTAGTTAAAATTTGTTTCCAGGGTCTTTGGACAAAATCAAAGTATACTGTCCAATGAATATTAGCTATTTATTGCTTTTTTGCTGTTTTTCCTTTTTATCATTTCTTTTTATAACTATAAATTCAGTTTCCAAATTAACATTTATCTCTTGCTTTGGTTGTATATTATATTTATTAAGTTTTGGTATATTAATAATTGCTTATACTTAGTACTATAATATTTTTCTTGATGCAAAGAGTTTAACTTCCATAGTTTAATAATGATGATTATGTTAGTTTTTAAAGTTTTAATGTTATCAATTGGTTGCTTTGCTGCTGTACTACATCTGAATCATTCCCAACTAATTATTGAAACTGATTTTAGGCTAGGTTGAATTCTAACATGTGATCATTGAATATCCTGAAAGTTTAATTGAATTGTCTTTTAATGTTTAGAATAAGCCATTGATTGCTATGCATGGTAAGCATTTGATTTTATTAATTAAAATAATAACATGTTGAAAACCATAGTCCTGTTTAAAACTTTGATGTGAAAATATTTGATATTGTATTTTTTCTTATTGGTATTATTAAAGCACATATGAGATTGTTTATACTGGCAGTAATTCAGAAATGAAATGAAATATTGCAATTCTAATGTCATTAGATAGCCACTTCAACTATAGTCTTTAGAAAACCTAGAATATTTTTTAAAGTTTGATGGTCAAAATTTTTGTCTTTTTGCCATGATTTTACTCAGCTTTAGTAAACTTTGTTCCTTATATTTATGAGAAACACACATTTGAAAGTAAAGTGGTTATTTTTAAACTTTAACTCTATATTCATTTTCAAAAGTCCAGAGTTCAGCTTCTTGATATGTTCTGTTAATGCCATCTCAAAATATTATTCCAATATATTTACTTATTTTTT